TGACTGCGACTTTCAAGAGGTGGCAACAAATGATACTGTTCTACCTGACGACGCTGAACTTAGCGAGCTTTCTGACGGGTGTTGCTCCTCCGTTGCCTGAAAGTACTTCAGACGCACCAACGGTCCATGCATATGAGGCTTGGAAACGGTCAGATTTCCTTTGTCGTGGTTATATATTGAATGATATTCATGATTCATTATATAATGTGTATGAGAAATTTAAGACGGCTAAGGATTTATGGGAATTCATGGACTGAAAACATAAATCGGAGGATGTCGGCTCGAAGAAATTCGTAGTCGGACGGTTCCTTGATTATGTGATGGTAGATTCCAAGACTGTTGATAGTCAAGTGCAAGATCCAGTTGATCCTGCACGACATCCAGGCTGAGGGGATGATCTTGAGTGAAACCTTCCAAGTGGCTGCAGTCATTGAAAAGTTGCCTCCGAGCTGGAGGGATTTCAAGAACTACCTCAAGCACAAGCGCAAGGAGATGACCTTGGAGGATCTGAATGTTAGACTTCGCATTGAAGAAGACAATAGGAAGTCAGAATCAAAGGCATCCAATGGCGTACAGACTAAGGTTAATATTGTGCAGTATGGTAAAGGCCAAGGCTCAAAGAACAAGGCCAAGAGCAAGAACGCCAGCAAAGGCAAGGGGAAGCTAGGGGCTACTGGTGGTGTCTCTAAGCAAAAGCATAGATTCAAAGGTAATTATTTTAATTGTGGTAAACTAGGTCACAAGTCTGCTGATTGCCGCTCTCCAAAGAAGGATCATGAGGCGAACATGGTCAACGACGCCACTAAGGATGTGGAGGACATGCACCTAGTTGATGTGGTGACTCAAGTGAACATAGTGGAGTCCAACCCAAAGGAATGGTGGATGGACATTGACGCATCCAGGCACGTGTGCATCCTTAGGAGCCACTTCACCACCTTTGAACCAGTCCATGGAGTGAAGATCTACAGGGGAAATGCTGCTCTTGCCACTGTTGAAGGCAAAGGAACTGTGAAGCTCAAGATGACTTCGGGCAAGACTCTGACACTCACAGATGTGATGTATGTGCCAGAAGTGCACAAGAACCTTGTGTCAGGATTTATGCTAGACAAGAATGGGTTTCGCATTGTAATAGAGTCTCTTAAGGTTGTTATGTCTAAGGCAAGAATGTTTGTTGGGAAGGGTATGCAACCGATGGGTTGTTTAAACTCAATGTAATGACTATTGTCGATGAAATGAATGCAAGTACCCCTTCTGCTTATTTGATTGAGTCTTCCAATTTATGGCATGGCAGACTAGGTCATGTTAATTCTGATTCGATACGTCGATTAATTAACTTGAACCATATACCAACATTCCAAATTGACTTAGGAAATAAATGCGAAATTTGCGTCGAAGCAAAGTTAACGAGGTCATCTTTTCAAACGGTTGAAAGGAGTACTAAACCACTTGAATTAGTTCACAGTGATGTTTGTGATTTGAAATCGATTCAAACACGAGGTGGTAATAAGTATTTTATCACGTTTATTGATGATAGCACGAAATATTGCTATGTTTACTTGTTAAAAAGTAAAGACAAAGCATTAGAGAAATTCGTTCTCTACAAAACCGAAGTTGAGAATCAATTTGGTAAAAAGATCAAGATATTGAGAAGTGATAGAGGTGGCGAGTATGAAGCACCGATTGGTGGCTTTTGTGCACAACATAGAATTTTTCATGAAGTGACAGCACCTTATTCACCTCAATCTAATGGGGTTGCTGAACGGAAAAATCGCACATTGAAAGAAATGATGAATGCGATGTTGTTAAGTTCAGGCCTACCTCCCAATATGTGGGGAGAAGCCGACTTGTCTAGTAATTACCTATTAAATAGGGTTCCCCGAAAGAAAGAAGACAAGACTCCATATGAATTATGGAAAGGAAAGAGACCATCCTACAAACACTTGCGAGTGTGGGGGTGTCTGGCAAAGGTAGTTGTACCTTCGCCAAAGGCAATAAAAATTGGACCTAAAATGGTCGACTGTATTTTTATTGGCTATGCACAGAATAGTAATGTATATCGGTTCTTAGTGCATGATTCAAAGATTTCGGATATACACAAGAACACAGTTTTGGAATCAAGAAATGCATCTTTCTTTGAAAATGTGTTTCCTTACAAGACTAAGGATGATGACAGTTCATCAAAACAAACTCATGAAGAAGTTCATGATTCGGTTGAGGTTCAAGATGTTGAACCAAGACGGAGCAAAAGGGCAAGAGTAGAGAAATCATTCAGTGATGATTTTGTGACCTATTTGCTAGAGAGAGAACCTCTAACTTATGCTGAGGCAGTAAGTTCTTCTGAGGGACCTTTATGGGAAGAAGCCATAAAGAGTGAGGTTGATTCAATTTTACAGAATCATACTTGGGAGCTTGTTGATCTCCCACCTGGATAGAAACCGTTAGGATCTAAATGGATATTTAAGAGAAAAATGAAACCTGATGATTCCATTGATAAATACGAGGCCAGGCTTGTGATCAAAGGGTATAAACAACGAGAAGGTTTAGACTACTTTGATACATATTCTCCTGTGACGAGAATAAATTCCATAAGGATGATACTTGCTATCGCAGCCTTAAGGAATTTGGAAATACATCAAATGGATGTTAAAACAGTTTTCTTAAATGGAGATTTAGATGAAGAAATCTATATAGAACAACCCAAGGGTTTTCGAGCTCCAGGAACAGAAAAGAGAGTTTGTAAACTAGTAAAATCCTTGTATGGTCTAAAGCAAGCACCTAAAAAGTGGCATGAAAAATTTGACCATTCAATGATTACTAGTGGATTCAAAATTAATGAGTGTGACAAATGCGTTTATGTCAAGGAGATAGAAAACGATTATGTCATATTATGTCTATATGTAGACGATATACTCATTGTTGGTAGTAGCGACAAGTTGGTCAAATCTACCAAAAACATGTTAAACTCTAAGTTTGACATGAAAGACATGGGTCTAGCTGATGTGATTTTAGGTGTTAAAATCATAAGGACAACAGATGGTCTAGTTTTGAGTCAAGCTCATTACATAGATAAAATTCTTGATAAGTTTAACAAGAATGATTCTGGGGTCACGAAAACACCATTAGATAACAGTGTCCATTTATCCAATAATCGTGGACAGGGTATATCTTAGGTGGAATACTCTCGGATAATAGGAAGTGTGATGTATCTAATGAGTTGTACTAGACCAGATATTGCTTATGTGGTAAGCAAGTTGAGTTCATACACGAGTAATCCCAGTGCTGAACACTGTACTGCTATAATTAGAGTACTGAGGTATCTAAGACATACTCGTGATTATGGACTGCATTATACTAGATATCCATCTGTGTTGGAAGGTTACACGGATGCCAATTGGATATCTGATATAAAGGACTCACACTGCACAAGTAGCTACGTGTTTACACTAACTGGAGCAGTTGTATCGTGGAATTCCTCAAAACAAACTGTAATAGCCAGATCCACAATGGAATCCGAGTTCATTGCCCTAGATAAGTGTGGTAAGGAGGCTGAATGGCTACGCCATTTTTTGGAGGATATTCCAAAGTGGGAAAAACCTGTGCCACCTATCAGTATTCATTGTGATACTCAATCGACGATTGGAAGGGCATAGAGTACTATGTATAATGGTAAGTCGAAATATATTCGTCGTCAACAAAATACCATTAGACAACTCCTCTCAACAGGAATTATCACAATTGACTACGTGAAGTCAAAGGATAATCTTGCGGATCCGCTAACCAAAGGGTTAAATAGAGAGGCAGTTGAAAGATTGACCAAAGGAAAGGGTGTAAAGCCTGTGAAGAAATAAAAGTCTTAAGAAGGAAAACCCAACCTAGTTGACTGGAGATCCCAAGTTCTAGGTTCAATGGGATAACCTAATCATAAGACGTAGTAGGGTCACTGTGGTGGTAACCTCAACTTATTCCTGTCATCAAACAGTGATATGACTGAAAGGATAGCAAACCGTTGCTTTAATGATACTTATGTGAGTAATTTCATTTACTCTAGACTTAAGAAGTCACCTATGTGAGAGAGAAGTAGGGCCGCTTCAAAGGAGAACTGTAAAGGCTCAGTTCTTTAGAAACTCTTGCAGAACCAGGACGTGTTCATGGCCAAAATGGACAAAACCATGAGAACGGAACTAAATAGAAATGGTTCCTGTGTACGTTATGTGGGTTTCTTTACACAATACAGCCGGACAGTTCAAGGACATCGTGTCTATTAATAGATGACCAATTAATTATTTGCAGACGTGCAGTGACACATCACTTTTACAAAAATATGATATTCTGAATATCAATCATCTTTTCGAAAAAAAAAATCTCTAAATAATAACATATACATATGTAAGAAAGAAAAGTAATATCGTCAATAGAATTTCAGTAATGTGAATTCAATTTCAGAAGCTGTTAAATAAAGGGAAAGAAATATCATGATTGATAGTTTTTCGGAAATTGGAATCAATCTAATATGATCGAAATCTCTGATTGGGAACTTTGTTTTGGAAAGTGATATCATTGTGCACAAGATGATGATTATAAGAAGGCACACCCGGCCAACCCTAATGTACATAACACACCTTACAATTTTTTTTCCTCCTTAAACCCTATTAATCATGAACAACAAAAACAACATCATCGCCAACAACTCCATGATGATCATGAACAAGAAGAGGAAGAAAACGCAAGGTCGAAGGAAGATCGAGATCAAGAAAATCGATAAGGTGAGCAACAGGCAGGTCATGTTCTCGAAACGTCGCACTGGTCTGTTCAAAAAAGCGAGCGAGCTCTGCATCCTAACGGGAGCGAAGGTAGCCATCATGGTTCAATCCTCCGGGAAGCACCTTTTCGCCTTTTGCCACCCTAGTATTGATGAAGTGATTGACACTTATGTAAACGACGAATTGTTTTCAAAATCGTCGAGCAAGACGATTAGTAGTACTAACCCTAGCACCACCTTGATGATGAGCGCGGCCGAGGTCGATGCACACAATTCCGAGTATAATAGGCTTTGTCGAGAACTAGAGATGGAGATTAAGAAACTGGAGCAACAAGAGAAGGCAAATTCGATGAATTTGGGAAGTAGTAATGATTATTGGTGGGAAAAATCGATTGAGAATATGGGATTGGAGGAGCTGGAAATGTACGCGGTTGCTTTGGAAGAGTTGAAGAAGAATGTGCTGACAAGTGCTGATGAATTGGATTTGTTGAAGAAGTCTCATAATATGGGAATGATGAACGTTGATTTGAATCAGATGATCAGTACTTCATCAACTGGTGCTAGTAATTTTGAGGTTGATTTGAATGCCAATCAAGTTTCCTCTGCCAATCTCAACGTCCCTTATGGCTTTGGCATATGATCGGTTCGAGGGGGAACAAAAAAAAATAATATACTTTTCTTTTTTTTTTCCTTTTCTTTTAGACAATAGTCTACTCTTTTTTTTTTGTTGATTAAACGAAAGGTTATTTTACTTCAATAATTATGTCATGCCATTTCTTTTTTCATTGAGGAACAAAAAAAGTCTCATACATTAGTACTAGTTTATGCTCGTGCATTGCACGGCTTGAAATATCGTTCTTATAGAAGTATAAGTGATAATGGCTAAATTGTTACATAAAAGCATCACAATTAACTTTGTAATTGATAAGAAATTGGTGGTATTTCCTAACGTTGGTGCAATTTACTTGACTCGTTTTCATGTTGTTGTTAGGTAAGGGCTGGATTGAATAATTGCTGAAAATTGGAAGCCAAAGGAACAATTTATGGGCTGCTGAGGCAAGGTTGCTGAGCTGGACGAAGAAGAAGGCCCTTAGACAAGAAGCATCTTGTCATTAATGACTTTGCCTCCTCCTAGAGGCATGCTTGTCCCGCAGCCGCAATCTCAGCCACCACTGCTGATCAATGAGAGCAAGACGGCCACTGCTGGAAGAGAGAAAAGGAACGGCCAAGTTGGATTGCAGGCTCAAGACATTGGGAGGATTAAACAACTCAAAGCATGGGGAGGCTCTCATGATGAAGACACCGGTTGCAAGGCCCTATAAAAGAGGGAACTGCACTCTCAAATGGGGAATCCATCTCTATCTCAATCACTGGTTACCCTTTCAGTTGCTAAAAAACACCCAGAAAAAACTTCAGGTAGAAGGCAAGAAAGAAGAAGAAGCAGCAACAACTCAGTGAGGAAGCCAAGTTGAAGAGCAGCAACCCAGTTTCTTCTTCTGTTCCACGAGTGAACCCTTTCACTCCCAGGAGTGGCTCAGAAACTGCACAAGCTTCCTTCTCATCTCTTGACTGTTAGCTTGAACTTTGTTTACTATGCATACTTCTATGATGTCTTTTGATGTAGTAGATGTAGCATTAATCCGTATGAGTAGCTAAACAGTTCCAAGGGGTTATTCTCCTCGACTGATGTTGTAGTTGTTAAGGCACTGGTTTTGTTCCTTGTTTTGAAGTTGAAAGTTTTTCTACATTCATTTACTTGATCACTAAATTGAATGCATGCTAGAACTAAGGGAGATCTGGAAAGATAAACTTAGTTTGGATTGTTTCAACTTTAACTTATGACATAGAGGTAACAGTCTATGGTTTTAACTAAGATAGGAATATACTTAGTTAACATAAGTATTCTTGAAGGCCTAAGAACTTAATGACTTTGTATCTGAAATCAATCATTGGAAAATAGATTGTTAAGGTTGCAGAGATGACTCTAGGAAAAATGGGAACTGACTTAGAGTTATAAATGAGCTGAATGAACAAGAACTCAACCATTACAGTGCTAATAAAGCAACTACAACAGTAGGAAGAGGAGAAGAACACCCCTGGCTTTCATTTCCCTGAGTGACTGTCTTCATTCCCCTGAGTGACATTTGTCTGACTGGTAGTTTTTCTTACAACAAATTTGGTAATTAGCTGTCCTCGTGGGATCGACCTAGCTTCCATTATCTATAAAATCATAATCCAAGCTAGTAATATTTTTTTTGGTGAACTCGGCAAGACCAGAAAGTGGCGCCGTTGCCGGGGACGACGTAAAACCTCCAAAAATTTGTTGTTTTTGTTTGTTTGTACATATACAAAATTCTTCTCTGGTTACCTCACTAAGCTTCCAGTTTCTTTTCTTTGGTGTATGATTAGAAGGCACCAACGAAGTGAACCTGTTTTTGACCCAGAAATTGAAGCTACCATCCGTAGAACCAGAGCAGCAAGAAGAAGGCAGAATCGGTTGCAACAGGACAACCAGGAAGGTTCATCAGAGATGGCTAACCAAGGTGGTAATCCGGAGAACAATAGGAACCCTGGTGGGGATCAACAAAATCGACCAGAGAGACTGCTTAGAGATTTCTTCATCCCACAGCAAGAAGAAGTCCAATCTCCTTTAGTGTTCCCTGATGTAGAAGCAACCAATTTTGAGCTCAAGCCACAGATGATCCAATGGACTCAATCAGCCTGCCCATTCCATGGATTACCTCATGAAGATCCTAATGATCACATCCGAAGTTTCCTGCGTTTATGCAGTACTTTTAAAATTCAAGGCTTATCTAATGATGACATTAGACTGAGACTATTCCCTTTTACCTTGCAGGATCACGCCCAAGCATGGTTCAACACATTACCCAACAACTCCATTTCCACTTGGGAAGAGTTAAGACAGTGTTTCCTGACAAAATTCTTTCCACCTGTAAAAGCTACACAACTCAGAACAACAATAATGAACTTCAAGCAGCATGGAGCAGAAACACTTTATGAAGCATGGGAAAGATTGAAAGAAATGGTCAGAAAATGCCCTCAGCATGGTTTGGAAGAGCATCTTCAACTGAGCATCTTCTACAATGGTCTGCTACCAACTACAAGAGACTCCCTTGATGCTGCAGCTGGTGGTGTATTTATGATGAAGCCGATTGATGCAGCAAGGCATATGCTCGACAATATGACCACCAACCATTCGAGATGGCAATCTGATCCAAGGGCAAGTACAAAACAGCCAGGGATGATGGAACTTGATCCCAGTACACATTTGCAAGCTCAAATGGCTGTTATGATGAACGAAATGACTAAACTCAGAAGTGAGCTGTCCAAATCCAAGGCAGAAGTATGTGTATTATGTGATGGATTCCACAGTTTGGATGACTGTCCCTCCAAAATGGAAGCTGTCCAGTTTGTCAGACAGGGCAATGCTGGGGGATTCAACAACTTCAACAATTGGAGAAATCAGCAACAGACCAACTGGAACAATGCACCACAACAAGGAAACTATCAAAGGCCTGCTCAACCCCCAGGATTTCACAGACAAGATGGTCAGCTTCCCAACTATCAGAATCAGTAACGTTCTAACCAACAATACATACCAAGGGAAGATGAATGGATTTCTGTACAAAATGCAATTAAGAGTTTGGCGGTGTCTTGCAAAAGTTTGGAAAATCAGTTGGCCCAGATTGCAAAACAAAATGCTGAATGACCATCTGGGAGCCTGCCTAGTGATACAATTGTGAACCCCAAGGGGAATGACCAAGAGCAAGCAAAGGCTGTCACTTTCTGAAGTGGAAAGCAACTCAATCAGCTAAGTAAAAAAGTCACTCCTGTGAGTGACCCTGTAGGTAAGAATGAAACATTCTCTGAGAAAATATCTGATAATGATGATGTGGTTGAACAGGAGCAAACAACTGAAAAACCTGGAATGGAGGGAATTCAATTTCCAGCACCAATTAAGGAACCTCAACAACCAGCTCCAAATCCACCATATCCGGTAAGACAAAAGAAAGCAAAAATGGATGAAGGGTTCAACAGGTTTATTCAGAATTTAGAAAGCATATTAATGTACCACTTGTTGATGCACTTAAACAAATGCCTAAATACTTCAAGTACTTGAAGGATTTGGTGGCAAATAAGCCACAAATACATAACTCTGCTTTTGTCACTCTAAATGAAGAATGTAGTGCAGCTATCCTGAGAAAATTACCACCTAAGCTAAAAGATCCGGGTAGTTTCACTCTTCCTTGCACTGTAGGAATCAGAGAATTTTCAAAAGCATTACTAGATCTTGGTGCAAGCATAAATCTCATGCCATTGTCTGTATTTAAATCCCTTGATCTGGACAAATTTCTGGTACCTACTAACATGACCTTGCAGTTGATAGACAGATCACTGACCTACCCAAAAGGAATCTTACATGATGTTCTTGTGAAAGTCGGTAACTTCGTCTACCCAGCAGATTTTGTGGTTTTGGACATGGAAGAAGACAGGGATGTACCCATCATCTTGGGGAGACCTTTTCTGGCAACAAGTGATGCAATCATTAAAGTGAAAAAGGGAGAAATAACACTACACTTTGACGGGGAAAAGGTTACCTTCAACATCTTCAAAAATATGAGATATCCCGCTGAAGTCCACGACTGCTACATGGTAAGAAATGTAGAAGCAGAGGAAGCAGTGACGGAAGAATTACTGCAAGATCATCTCCTCAAGGAACTTTTGTGCCCAGACTATAATGAGGAACAGGAAGGAGGGGATGAGTACAGGGCCACTTGCCTGAGCTACCTGAACCACTCCCCCAAGTGGCATCCTAAACAGCAACCCTTTGAACTGATAAATCTGACCAAGGAAGGAAGATGCCTCAAACCTTCAATTGAAGAACCACCTCATCTCGAGCTTAATCCTCTGCCCTCGTATTTGAAGTACGCCTATATTGGAGCAAGTAACACCTTACCTGTGATCATTTCTTCTATGCTTACAGGTACTGAAGAGGACAAATTGATGAGAGTACTGAGATTGCACAAGGAAGCCTTTGGGTGGTCAATTGCTGACATTAAGGGCATCAGCCCCTCCATATGCATGCACAAAATCCTGCTTGAAGATGACGCCAAGCCAACCATTGAAGGACAAAGAAGACTCAACCCAGTCATGAAGGAAGTGGTGAAAAAGGAGATTATCAAGCTGCTGGATGCAGGGATTATCTTCCCAATATCTGACAGCAAGTGGGTGAGTCCAGTGCAATGCGTGCCCAAGAAGGGAGGAATCACAGTTGTAAAGAATGACCTCCAGGAGCTAATCCCTACAAGGATGAACAATTCATGGAGAGTGTGCATGGACTATAGAGAGCTTAATAAAGCTACCAGAAAGGACCACTTTCCCCTTCCTTTTATTGATCAAATATTGGATAGATTAGCTGGATTCATGTATTATTGTTTCCTTGATGGTTTCTCAAGTTACAACCAGATTACCATAGACCCTAATGATCAAGAGAAGATGACTTTCACCTGCCCTTATGGCACATTTGCCTTCAAGAGAATGCCATTTGGACTGTGCAATGCACCGGCAACTTTTCAAAGATGTATGATGGCCATTTTCTCTGATATGGTGGAAGACATA